GCAAGCATGTTGGTAGATTCCAATCTTCTCCAGGAATTGGAAAGGAATGCATTTTCCCCAACAGGCCAGCCCATGAGTGTTTATGGTGATCCCGCCTATCCCCTGCGAACACACCTACAGGCACCATTTCGCCATGGTGTCCTAACACCGATGATGTAACAATACAATTTTGACATGAGTTCTGTTAGAGTAATGATGGAGTGGCTCTTTGGGGACATCATCAACGACTTCAAGTTTTTGGATTTTAAGAAAAACCTAAAAATTGGAATGAGTAGTGTGGGCAAAATGTATCTTGTATGTGCACTTCTTAATAATGCTATTACCTGCCTATATGGCAACAAAACCTCAGAGTGTTTTGGTCTAGACCCTCCTTCATTGCAGTATTATTTTAGATAAATTCTCTCAAATAAACAGAGCAGAAATGGAGGCCATTTTAATTAAACCCAAATTTAATAAGTATTTGAATTCTTCTTGGTCGTCACCAATGTAAGAGTCAAACTTGTAACAACAATAATGAATGAACTTTTTTTTTTCGAATTCACAAAACGCAAGTAAATAGTAAGACATCAATTTCAACAAATACCTGTATTTTTGTTGAAATAAGTAAACACTGACTTTACATGTTCATACTTGGGAAAGCTTTTGGATAACCGACAGAATAGCTTGATTTGTTTGTTGTTGTTGTTGTTGTTGTTGTAAGACAGTCACCATCACTGGCTGATTCTGCTCTTGTTCTAGTCTTCTTAGATCTAGCTCTTGTTGCCGTAATTCTCGCTCATTCTTGGCTTTCTCTTGCATGAATTCAACTAGTGGCTCGGTGCGAGCACTTCTCCTTTGGCGCTTCGGTTTCTCCTCGCATTCATTGCCATTCTCTGTTGACCTGCGCTTTTTCGTTTCGCTGAATCGCTCCAAAGCTTTCTGCCTTTCGTCCTCTGCCTTGCTTTTATCTTCTTTTTGCTTTCTTGCCTGAGCATCACCAACTTTGTTTAAGCTCTTTTCTTTCCCGACGAGTTCTTCAAGTCAAACGGTCTCTTACTGCCCTCTTTTACTTTTGAGATGCATCTCACATTGGGAAAACATCAGTCTCTTACTGGGTGATTTTACGGCCACATAATAAAAGATGGTGATTTTGGAACATTGTAGATCGTCTTTTCTATGTTTCTATTTGGACCCTTCTAAAACTTCTGCAGCTTTGTAAGACGTATTTGCGATGTGTCGGTTAATCTTTTGAGCATTTTGTTAGTGCTGAAATAGTCTAAAATTGCGCAACTTACTCCCCCCGCCCCACCCCCTCTTAATTAAATAAAATTTTCGGGCGTGGGGTAGTCTTCAACGGCAAACAGTGTTTCTTCCCTTAATTGTTGTAATTTACTATTTGTAAAGCAGTTCTATCATTCCTGCATGTATCCATCCTTCCATTCATCCATCCATCCATCCATCCATTCGCTCGTTCGTTCGTTTATCTATCTATCTATCGAAGACATGTATTTTCGAGGAAAGCTCAAATCTTGTTCTTTGCTTCCATTAGATGTCGAGCAGGCTGGCAGCTCTCGTACTGAGCAACATGATGATAACGTCAGCAAAAGCCTTGATTGAAGCGAATCTAACACTGGACAGCACACAGAAACTCCTTTAGCGCTATCTAGCATTGACGGTAAGCTTTCGTGAAAAATACTAACTCTATTTGCGTTATGATAGCTACAAAAAAAAAAACCTGTATTGGATTGTATATTGGATATAGAAAGGGTAAAAATTAAACGTTTTGGCCGGGTTATCAGAGCTGTTAAGACACAATGACCGCATTTCTTATATACTTGATAAAATTGGAACTTTGACATTATTAGATGCTAACACGATTGGCCAATCGGAAACTCGTGCAGTAAACTCGATAAAGCGAGTGCTTCGTAAATTACAAGATACGAACATCCCTTCTATCACAAAACTTACAGCTCAAAAACAATACGTTTTGTAGATGAGCTAGAAGAAATTGCGCAGACAGAAAGTCAAACTGATGCTGACAGCGGTAGTAAATTGCGTCCCGATGAAGCCTATACTCGGCAACGTATCGTGAAAAGCATTGAAAAACGTAACANATCTTCTTTTTGCTTTCTTGCCTGAGCATCACCAACTTTGTTTAAGCTCTCTTCTTTCCCGACGAGTTCTTCAAGTAAAACATCTATTTCAGACATGTCCACGGATATTCCACTTGCAGTTTCTTCTTGATGCATCTTGGGCTTATACTTCTTCTGGAGAAGAACCCTTTGGTCTCTTACTGTCCTCTTATCTTTGAGATGAAAACTGATTGTCTTCACTTGATTTAACTTTTCTGCGATCGATTCCCACCTTTCTCCCCTCGCAACGCTTCCTTTTTTGAATGAAAACAAATCGCTCGCTAGGATTTCTCGAAGCAAAATAACGTCATGATCTTCAGCCCACTCCATAGCTCTAAAAGCAAAATACAACAATTCAGCTATTTGACCGACGATCGAGAAAAAGTGTAAACTTATAAAGATATGCATAAAAATCTTTTCTGTTGAAATGTCTTCGAAAGACTCAATAGTTCTGCTTACTTTGGTTTTCCATCGGAGGCCGGCGCCGACATCTCTTGCTCAAAGCTACGAGAAATGAAAATGTCTGTGTTTTTATCTATGTCTGAGTGTACAATTTGAACAACATGAAAGAAAATACTTCTAAAAGGGTAACAAGGGCAAAATAAAATGTTTTGAGACAAGCTAGTGAGGGAAAGATACTCACGTTCTGGAGACAACGCCAAAATGAAGGTTTTCACGTTCGCGCGAAACGAAGACGACTTGACAGGCAACTCCAGAACGCCTACCGGAACAAAAAGTTACTTCCGGTCGCCGTCGCCGTCGCAAAATAATAGCCTGGTGCTTAAGTTCCCTAATTATACGCCTGCTACGCAGGCTAGGAAAAAAAAAGTCATAAATTAAGCTTAATTGATATGCGATTTAGAAAAGCACTAAAGTATTATACGTAGAGGTGGCTTGTATCCCCCTCGATCATCTGAAAATTAGTAGAAGAAAGAAAAGTAATTATTAAAGAAACTCCTGGCGGAAAAGCACAAAAGAGTAAAAAGTACTGCCATATATGGGCTATATAGGTATGTGCCGCTGTGAAGGGTATGGTTTTCAAGCAGTTTACTCTANCTTATCCACAGTTTACTAACTCTTTTTTATTACAAAACCAAGTCAGTTCAGAAAGTCAACAGCTTAAACCAACCAATCGGACTGCTCTATTGCCGGTCTAATTAATCCAAGTACTGGACTCTATCCCGAAGGATCCCGCGCGGTTTCCTTGTAGTTTTATGACTTTATACTTTCCTTAGAATTAACTTACACATAAACAATTTTTTTTTCGCCCACCTTTCCTTTTTTTGTTGTTTTCGTTGAACACGTTAAACGTGAGTAAACTCCACGTTGGCTCTCAATCAGAAATGTGCAATTGATTCCGGTCCGTCGGATTTTTCCAAACCATAATCGAAACTTGCTCGGAACGATACTTGGAGAATATCAGCTTTGGTCGCTGCACTGAGTTCGTACTGTTCAAGACTCGGAGGAACTTCGTGCTTGGTCAATGAGATTTACACAATTCTGTAATATCATCAAATGTTATATTAATCTTCATTTCTGTATTTTTTAAAGACTTCGTCTTTAAGTTATATTAACTTTTCGTCGGAGAAAGCGTACAAACTTGTAATCCAGAGATCGCGGATACAAGTGCTGTTCTAACCAAAAGGTAGAACTGTTTCTTAGTAGACCCAAGTTCCATTCCTCGGCCATGTTTGTTAATAGATAACTTGTTCGCCTCCTCCCAGTTGGAACTTTTAACCATTTCATGTTAAACTGGACATATTTGTTTCTAATATCTTTATGCTTAGTCCCATCAGCACTTGCGCTTAATTCCCGAGGGGAGGGTACTCCCTATAATGGTCTATACAGTGAGGCTCCACCCGAAGGGGGTACCTTTTTCAGGTATATCAAAGGGTGGGGAATTCACAAGTTTAGGTCTATGAAGGGGTAGTGCGATCTGTCATTTAGTCATTTTAATGGGACTTTAATTAAAATATTTCCAACAGACACACCTTATGGAAGTATCATTTAAATTAGTAGGTAGTACACGAAAACTTCCTTCCTTTCTTGGCGTTTTAATCGTAATACGGGCCAGGCCAGTTATGAGAGTATGTGAAAGGGGTACATTTCTCTAATTATTTCAAGGTATACAAAAACGGTGCCTTTTCTGCCGAATTGGTATAAAAAAAGTAAGGGGTTAGACCTCTGGGCAGAGCCTCCCCATATAACTTTATAGGGTTCCCCCCCCCGGGGGGGGGGGTTTAATCACTTCCTGAGAGTAAACAAAATAATGTCTTTTGTTGTTGTTGCTAAAATTAATTGAATAAGCACTGATGACATTTTCTCCCCACCCTAAAAAGAAACCATGATCACAGGCTATAGTGCATTGAGAGGTGCTCCACCTTCTTTGAGCTTGCTCAACACCAACTTAGCAGATACAACATCTTCCACAGCCATGCCTATTAAGACAACAAAAACAACATTAAATAGTCTGTGACATACAAATCTTACAGTTCTAAGCTAATCCAAGGGATCATGATGATTTCACTATTTTAAATTACCAAGGGGCAGCTGGTTTACCATTACATTATGACGAAAACCACACCCTAGCAAGTACACCCTGTTTAGCACAGGCACTATAATAGTAACACTGTACTAACAGTTCTTCGCTAAGTACTGTGGCAACTGTGGTACAGATTTAATTAATAACAATAAAGATTCTCTACCTAAAGACATCATTATTTGAAATCACATGCAAAGCAAGGCAATGAGCTGAGGGTTGATTTAGCTGCTGATTTAGGCAAAGATTTTGTCTAGTAAGAAAACGTCCTAGGACATTAAAACAGACTAAGCATGATTTCCTCACTTCCTGGCTCGCCTCATTTAAGATAAACTGATTGCAGTACTGGATCAGACTATGAAGCTCAGGGTTACAAGATTTTTGAACTCCAGCTTACCTAGAGATTTGAAGATGATTGTTTTTCCTTCGGGAACAGCCAGTTTTCCTGAAATCACATCACCAATCTCTCCAGACACTGTTGCCTTGTTACACAACAAAATATTGAAAACTTCAGAATGACAAGCAATCTCTTGTACAATTTTATTACAATGTTCAAATGAACTCTATTCACAACTTAGTTGGAGTCCTTATTTCCATAAGTAAAGCCTATTCTGATTTAGGAAGTGGCTTTAAATCGTGCCAGGACTTAACTCTGCTCTCTTCTTACTGGATAGCTACACCCTAGCCTGCAAAACAAGTGCATTGGCAGGGCCAAAGCATGATATGCAGGCTAGCTACACCCCATTCACGTATAGATACATATAGGTCCACTTGCAAGTTACCTCATTAATTTACTAGGCAAGTACCCATTTATTTTCCTGGGTGAGGACTGGAAGGCACTGTAAGAGTTTGGTGTCTTGTGTGAACAATACAACAGACTTCTACATACCAGAGCCTAGAGCCAGAGCCAGACCCCTCAGTTTGGAGGAAGTCTAACATGTCAACTATTATGCTACTGCACCTTAGAGTTTCTTAACAGTAATTTGGACAGACTGACCTTGGAAAGAATCACATCTCCAGCTTCCTTCATAGCTGCTTCACTACTGTCTGCCACTATAAAACTGTTGTGCATTACCTCATCATCTAACTCCCTCCATGTTGGCCGAGGTGCACCAACAGCTAACAAATTTAACATTTAAACTATTGTTAATGGAAAAACTTAACAGATTACTGTCCTGAAGTTAGAAGGCCATCACTTTACTTAGGTTTCCCAGGCCCTGCACAAGGAAACAAGTATTAAATTCCTAGATGCAAACACATGTGGTCATAGATCACCTTATTTTGTAAGATGATTTCAATAATTAAATTTCAGTTTTCATACAGTAACAACTCGAAGGAGAGACACCTTCAACAAAATGATCACAATGATGATTACCTTAAGGTGGGTCCAACACATAATAAGTCACCACTCATTCACTATGGCTCAAAGAAGCATGTAACATGCCTCGACTTGGAAAGAAAATTATTTTATTTCTGTTAATAACTGAATCAAGCTGTATGGAAGGTGGGTGCCCGGGAAGTCCGGGGCCCCTCCACTGTGATCAGCCAGTCCCTAGAGAGCAAGCATGCTCCCAAGGGTGGCAATCCCCACAATCCAGCCAGAAATCCCCACGTACAGTTATCAATTCAAGCACCTGCTACACTGAACCAACAGTGGAAAAGAGGATGGAGAGGGAGATGCAGATAAAAACAAGGCCAAATAGCTACCTGTAAGAGTTCTACTGAAAAACGGCTTAACTATGCTTTGCTCGATCACTCTAATATGATGGGGCACATTGCGCCTACGCTAACATCAAAGAACCGCTAACTGCCTGACGAATGCTAGCTTTTCTTTGTTGCTAACTTAAATAAATTGCATTTAACTGCATATAAATATATAAAGCTTAGTTCCAAATAAAGTGCCTGAATGTAAATAACGATCACTTACAGTTTATTAAGGCACCAGACTTGACCCACTTTCCACATAGAATCGGACTTGTTGCTAACGTTACAGTCACTATAACATCAGCACCTGATGCTGCCTCTTCGACTGTTGCACAAGCTTTCGCACCAACCTCATTAGCCAGCTTTTGTGCATTGGCAAAGGTTCTACTCCATATCCTGACCTTAAAATAAAGGAGGTTTATTTTAGTGAGACCATGGTCAGTTGATAACACCATTGCTGGTGGCCTCATAAGCAGGCATGAAGACCTTATGGTTGGTGTACTGGACTCTGGACAAGCGCTCCAGGATCAAGCCTTGGCTGAGATCATTGTGTTGTGTCCTTGAGTAAGACACTTAACCCTCACATTTCCTCGCCCTACCCAGGAAGATGAGTAAATTGGCATAGGTAGGTGGGTAAAGTCTGCATACGAACCAAGTGGCCCATCAGGCTGGAGCTTATCCCTGGTTTCAGTATCACAAAGCAACTAGGAGTATTTCTGCTCTCCCCTGGATGGGATGCTAGTCCATTGCAGGGTTACCCCCAGCATTAAATTTGCCGGTACCCATTTATACACCTGGGTGGAGTGAGGCACTGTGAGAGTTAAGTGTCTTGCCCAAGAACAGAACACAATGTATTCGGCCAGGGTTCAAACCCGGACGCCTCACACTGGAGATGAACACATTAACCATGAGGCCACTGTACCTCCACTTCCATCCATGGGGACTGAGTAGAAATACTCGTCCTCTAATGCCATGGAAACCAGAGATATATGCCAGATTGTTGGTCCACCAGGCTCAAATGTACTCTTGATCTTTCATACGGATTATGCAGTCATTTCACATACCTCAGTGAAAGGTCTCACATGCTGAAGTGCCTGGACATGACTTCTTGCCTGAGCACCAGATCCCAGGATACACAACACTCTTGCATCCTCAGGGGCAAGGTACTGAGATAAAAAGACAACTAAAAGTTTGTTCCCATTTAAAATATTAATCACAGTAAAATAAAACTATGTAGCAACTATTGGTTTGACATAAGTGAAGCCATAATTCAAATCTGTCTCTCTCCTCACCTTGGTTGCAACTGCCGAGGCAGCTGCAGTCCGCATGTCTGTGATTACAATACCATCCACAATCTTTAATTCAAATTCAATGAATGAAAATCAATACATAATTAAAAGCACAAAGAGTTGAAAAGGACTCTTACAGGTTTCTCAACTACACACTGGGAATTCTAAAATGATCCACGTTTCATATCAAAATGAGTCTGATAATCATGAGTTTCAGGGATATAGCTCAAAATGAGTTTGATCTGCAAAACAAAGATTGAAATAAAAAATACGCAAATCCATACGTAATATTAATATTTATTATAAGGCTAGCTCCATGAGCAGGCAAGATGGAGCTATCTTGCCCACTCGGGACTACCCGCCGTGTCCCACGAGAAAAATTTCCTGGAAAGCCATATAATAAATCCTTTATTGACCAAGCTTGTTCAGTCAAGATAACTGTATATGAAGAAGCTAGTCATAAAAGGGGATAAGTGACGATTTTGGTTGCTTTTCTTTTTTTTGCTCGAAATTGGCTGAATTTTTGCATGTGGTCTTCAATGTAATAGAAAAACGTGGTTCTGTATTTTTGTCGCTGGTTTTTGCTTTGTTTTCGAGTTAAAACGNCGGCAAAAATACAGGGACACGTTTTTCTATTACATTGAAGACCACATGCAAAAATTCAGCTAATTTGGAGCAAAAAAAAAGAAAAGCAACCAAAATCATAACTTATCCCCTTTTATGACTAGCTTCTTCATATTGGCCTCGTTCTCTTTTTGCGAGTTTATGGACCAAGACAGAGTCGAGGTCCATAAAGACGCAAAAAAAGAACTTGGACAATATCCAGCCATCTTGACCTCACACTTGGTCAATAACCCCTACATATTTTTGATTGATATGTATTTAACATTCATTTGTGCTCCAAGACTTGTCTGATGACTAGAGCAAAAATGCAAATTAAATAATAGCAGCTACTTTGTATACACAGTAATAACCCTTATGCAATAGAGGATTTTTTTCCATGATTAAAAAAGAGCCTCATCTTAACACGTGGGGGGAAGATAGTTAATACGAATCTTGGGTGTGCACAACTTTCAAGAATTCTCTCAACCACCCCTCTACTCCCCCCTCCCCCCCATAAGTGTTTCCCCCCAAGTGTTTAGATGAGGCTATGTAAACACAGAAAAAAAACCTCTAAGTTTTAACTTACTGCTTGTGGCAAACCATTTCTGGGGTCAAGGACCATAACATTGGCAATGAATGAAGGGAGGCCCTGTTTCTCATTTTCTGGAAAGCCTGTGACCAGTTTGACAGCAAGAGCACTGTCCTTAGCTGAATATGCGGGCATGACAAGAAGAAATCTACAGATATAGAACACAATAAGCAGTTATCAGGTTGAGTCGCACCAAATGGCCCAATTTCCCACTATAGATGAGATGCACCTGCAGGGAATCATGGTAGTTGTATTCATAAACGAATGAATGAATGATCATCTTGAACTGGATATTTGTTTTGATAAATACAACTACCATGATTCCTTGCACCTGCATCCCTGGGAGGGGCACTCCCAGAAAAATTGGGTGGGGTTGAGTTGCCTGCTTCCCAAAACCCTTACCTTATTTATGACCAAAATCTCCAATTTTCCTTACCCTATTGATGACCTGACCAGAAATTTGATACACTATTTATGGCCATCGCGGCTGGCACAGTTGCTCTAAGCATAATTTGTGAAGGGCTTTCATTTATGGTCTTATTGATAATGATGAAAAAGAAGCTTCTTCTAATTCTAAAAAACATACTTAGTTCAAGACCAGAGTGCTAAAACCATACCCCGTTTCAAACCAAAATGGCCAAAATCAATACCCTATTTATGACCAAAATGGCTGAAAAACCACACCCTTTGGGGCTGCACATACCTATATAGTCCATATAAGGAAGTACCCCTCCCCCCCCCCCCCNCTCCCCCCCCTCTCCCAGGGCTGCATCTCATAGAGGGAATTGGTCATTAGCTGTCGACACTACCAGTTGGGCTATTGTATACCTTACTATACATATCAGAGGGTTCTGAAGCTCCTCCTATGTGATATAGATACTGTATTGGATGTTTGCCAGGTTGACGTTATTGATTGTATAATTTTAAGGAGAGCAATTTGATATCACATGTAAGGCAGGTAGTGGGGAATGTGAAAATCAAAGTTTCCAGATCAAAGTATGTTAACATTGTTTTGCCAAATAAAGGAAATTTTTTCCCTATTAATCACTCTCTTCTCAGTCTGTCCCTCCTGAGGGTAGGAAAATGTTGTCACCTAATAATTATATGACCCTATGCATATGGTGGGGCTATAATTTTAATGCACCAATGTTAACTCAGAAGATGGGATTTTGACCAGGCAGAAATCCAAAATATCAAATTCCTGGGAGGCTGAGAGGGTGAAGGGGGGGGGAGAATTAAAGTTTTAAATTGACCATGTGAAAGTTCAGATGCCTGTAGGTCACCCGGCAGGAGATGTTGTTTCAACTGACAGGGAACCTTTGCATAGCAGCGGTGGATCAGGGGTTGTAAAACCTTAATAACTTTTGGCGCCGCTGGTGTGGATGGCAAATGTTGAAGGCGTGGGCACATAGTTGGGGTGGGGGGGTCAAGGTCAAAATTTTTGCAGTAATTTAACCCTCTAAAACATGTTTTCCAGCATTCCTGACTCTTGAAAGATGTTTACAAAGGCATGATATCAAATCTGGAGTTTCCCTTCTGGCAAACAGAAAACCAAAAACGATAATGAAGATGTGAAAATATGTGTATCTTCTTTTCCTAACTTGATAATCAGTCAGTCGGTGGAAGTCAGACAAACTACATATGAAACTATTTTGTTACATTATTTTTATGATGAGTCAAACAAATAACAACAAAGAAATACTGCTCAAACAGGAGGAAGGGGGGAGGGGGTGCACACCCATCAACCCCTCCCCTGGATCCGCCTCTGTATAGAGCAAGACAACCCCAACACAAGTTTTTTTAGGAATCTCGCAGATAACTCGCTAATTTCAACAGTAATTATTATCACATGTTCTTAGCAATTTACAATTTGTATGTAAGCTTATAATTAAGCTTATTTACCCGCGATCTTCCATTTGCACGGCTGTGCGCACGGGCTGAACAACTCCACCGCCCTCGCGAGCGGAAAAATTTACCAAAGCCTCTTCAAGAACGGGAATGAGATCCTCATACTTTAGAACTTCTTTCACACGCGAGGCAGTGACATATTTAGGAGGTTCAACCACAGGATGAGCCATTCTGTAACCAAGAGAAACAACCGCGCGCTTCACTGCGATCTTGCACCTACAATCACAATCTGAATGTGCAGTAAGTTGATACTCTAGCCAGCAGTACTACATTAAAAAGTAAACCTAATCGGCGTTTTGATTGGTCACATGTTGTCCCCTAACCAATCAACAAAAGCATTACTTTTTACTAAAGCCACGCCTTCATAGGAAGGCGGATGTGTTTTGGGTCGCCATCTTGCTGCGTAGACTGGCCAGAGTCCGTGGCAATAATCGTTGAAAAATATTGCTCTTTAAGTGATAGTTGACTTTTTTTTTGGGCTGGAAATGTCGGGGAAGGAAGTGCACGAGCTCTCCATTCGACCAATTACTTGTTTCAGCTTCAACAAGGACTGTAGCCGTAAGTTTTTTTATTTCCGCTCAGAGCCGATGTAGTGTCCTTTACGGCGATTGCTTACTCGATTTGTTGTTTTCTTGGCAACTTTTTAAATGGTGTAGCTAAACCTTCGTTTTAAAGAAAAGAGTGAGGCTAAGCTATATGATCAGGTTCATTAAAATTATGTTTGAAGCAGTGAAGAGTGAAATGGTGTACTTCCTCTTTCAGAGCTTGCCTTTTCTCCAAATGACAATACAGTGCATATTCACAAGAAGGCGGGAAACAAATGGGAGAAAGGTTTTGTGTTGACTGAGGTGAGCATGGTTTAGTAAAAATTCTTTTTTAATATAATCAGATTGTGAGGGAATTCTCCACTTTTGTGGTAAACCCAGTTAGTGAACCTTTCAAGCTTGACTAACTGCATTTACGAAAAAAGTGGAATGCAAGATAATCCCTGACATAAGAAGTTCTCCTTACAAGTACCATCGTGAACGAATCAAGGTCGATCAGCTGTAAGTGACAGCTGTCTATCTTGATTGCATGTTGGCTGGGTAGGGTGTTTGTAGTTTTCACGCATACATGCATCGAAAGATTCATGTAAATGGTGATTTGTATACTGTGTGTACATGTAAAATAACATTGACGTAATATATCAAACACTTAAGACCACATGTGTTTGACCACATTTCCAAACGCGGAGAAGATAGTTGAAAATACGATGCGCAGCGGAGTATTTTTGACCAACTTCAAGGTGTTCAGAAATGTGGTCAAACACTGTCTTGAGTGTTTGAAATATCTTCCCAATCAAAACTAAAACTAAGGAGAAAATGGAGAAAATTACTAAAGTTGTAAAAATCTATGCTAATTAAGAACAGATATCCAAACACTGTCACAGTCATGATTTCCTTTGTTTAAACTTGATGAATTAATTATGAGTTTGAGAATGGAATATCTTAAACATACAGTTTGTAAGCAGAAATCCTTGGGGTCTGAAAAAGTGTCTGCTTAAGAGATTTAAGAGATTTCTTTCCTAATGACAGGTTAAAAAATGTAATGTTTGTTTGTTACTGAGGTTGTTACTAAGTTTCTGCTTATGGGAACTGTCTACCTACAGTGGTCCATAATGTCCGTATGGAATTGTCTACCTGCCTACAGGGGTCCATATGTCCATATGTAGTTAAGAGTTTCAACTGTATATCTACATGTATATGAAGAAAAAGTTGATTATCAACTTCAAAGTAATAAAGTTAAGTTATCCACTTCTTTTGCAAAATTATTCAGTTAACCCTTGTCACAGCTGTGGTCCTTCCTCAGCTATATGATGATAATATAGTCATTATAATATAGTCATTTAAGTTTTATCAACTTTAAGTTCATAATTATGATGAAACACTTAAATTAAATTTAAGGGTTTCACTCCTTGCCTAATTAGTTATGTGATGTGTGAATTGTAATATCTGGGTACTTAGACTGGTAAATGTACCCTTGTATTCATTCCTTTCACCAATGAGCACATGCAACTTTGCGGCAGACATTCAAAGGTTTTCAAACCATAGTTTTTGTAATGTTAGTGCGATTGTTGTTTTGGTTAGCATGGCCAACGTGTAACAGGGATGGCTTGGGCCCCGAACAGCAACAGGCTGGTCACATGTGGAGCAGTAAGTGAATAATGTACTGAATATCACTGTGTGCATTAAAACATAATATTTTTCCCTCCTTGTTTTCATGTAGTCATTTCCCCTCAATATCTTACCTTGCCTCATCCAATAAGAAAAAAAAACAGTACATGAGATGATTCTTCCTTGTTTATTAGTTTTAGTCAAGACTTTTTTTAACATTTGTTGTCATCTTGAAAATAATATATAAATTAATACTTTTGCAATTCATTCTTGGCAGTAAGAACAACTCCAAGTCATTCTCAGTGATGCAAGTGCATGCATGCACCTTATAATGCATTTTATATGTACATGTCAAAGTTGAAAATTTTTTTCCTTTGTAAACTGGTTTTGTTAATTTTATATGTTTAATGTTTCTCTGTTGCTAGGACAGAAATGCTTATGTTTGGAATCTACAAGATGGCAAGTGGAAGCCAATGCTTGTTATCTTGCGCATCAATCGTGCCGCAACTTATGTCTGCTGGTCTCCAAAAGGTAAGGCCTGAGAATGCAAGGAATTTAAAACAGCAAGTACTTTACTCTTGAGAATAATGAGGGGACTCTGAATGTACATGTATGTAGTACTGTATCAATACTGTTGTTTTCAACTCATATTGTACAGTTTAATTGGGAGAGTTTGTATACTCTGAAAGTGAATCTGTTAGTAGCAAACAATTTAGTGTCAAGGACTTCTTAATGTGCAAGGTTTTGTTTTTTGTGTTTGTTATTAAAATGTTGAAGTTTCTTAACACATGATGTGTAATTGGTAGATCTATTCTTCCTTCAAGTGTAGTCATGTGTATACCTTCCAACTTTTTCCAAGTCGCAGGCTTGGGATTTTTATCCTGGGATTACCAGGATTTTCAAAGATGACCTTTTTCGTTGATTGGTTTAAGTTTATACCTTTTTCAAATGGTGTTAGTTAAGGCTGTAACAAACATAAAGCATTTGTCCATAGACATGGGTCATCATCATCCCTGGTCGTGCCCCGCAGGACACCTAAGGCCATTCAGAAATGCTCTCCACTCATCTTGGTCTCTGGCAGATGCTGTTGGGGCAGCCCATGACTGCAATCCCATCTCCTCCCACTCATAGACATGAGTAGACATGATCAAAGTTGCCAAGCTCTAGGTGTGAGACTCGCACCTACATGTAGGATGTGGGAGTTAGCAGGTATATTGTGTATTCTAATGATTAAAAACAAGTTTTTGGTTTAATCTGCAGAGGACAAGTTTGCTGTGGGAAGTAGTGCACGCCTGATTTCAGTGTGCTACTTTGAAAAAGAGAATGACTGGTCAGTATTATTTTCATAGTTCTTAGATGTATACATTAGATGAAGATTGTGTAGCAGACCCTCCCCTTTAGATCTTTTCTTTGCACACAGTTAAAGAGCTATTTGTAACCTACGTGTGAGGTATGATTATTGCAGACTATGTGCAAGAACTGTTTTGAAACAGGGTAAAGAAGGCCTGTTGACTGTATGCCACCCTTATTGGTTTTTCATCTGTATGACTGCAACAATAAATGAAGAGGTCATTGAGAACCTTGCCTTCATTTGAAATGTTTTATCGCATATCATGGAGAGTGTCCTTTGTTTCTTAACATCTGTACTAACATTACTTAACCTTCTCAATGTGGACATTTGGGCGTATTGTTGGCCTCGCGCACGATGTTGGTGTACAAATCAAAATTAGCAAAAANCCTAAAGACATGGCTAGGAAAAGCCAAGTTTTTTGCATACGTTTTAACTCGAAAACAAAGCAAAAACCAGCGACAAAAATACAGAACCACGTTTTTCTAGTACATTGAAGACCACATGCAAAAATTCAGCTAATTTGGAGCAAAACAAAAAGAAAAGCAACCAAAATCAATTGTCCAGTAAGTTTGAGGTTTTAACAGGTAAAAGCTTGGTCTGGTTGGAAAATCTCGCTGGGCATTTCTGCTAAATGAAAAATATTTTAACTGGAAATTTGTGACCGAATATGAAACAAGTTATTTTATTATACTGCCACACAATACAATACAAAAAAAGCTTTGTTATCAGTTTCGTTTTTATTCCATATCTGAGAAATAATGTTATCACGCACAATGCGTCCTTTCAAATGTCATGTCAAATTGTAAACACGACACATCAGTGCCACTATTCAAGCTTTGGTTAATCCACACATTTTGCAGTGGTGTAATGAAAGATCGTGAAGCCCCATTTGGCCTGGATTACGTTTGCATTGTTTCTGCCAGAATGCACCATTGCAGGAAACCTGTATTTCAATCAGAGATGGCCCCTGTATGCGGAAAGAATGAGCTGCAGATTAAAAAATGTCTCGATACATGTGGACGGGTCCTTAGTCTTAATTTGACCCAGTTGAAATATGCAAATTGGATACACGGCCCAAATTTTCACATTCTGTTTATCTGAATGCAATCACTTTCAAAAACTTTAAAACCTCTAAAAGATAACCAAATGTTTTTCTAGTCCATATGATCAAAAGTCAGTTTTCCATGTACAGCTCTTTATATATATATTTTTTTACCTCTGTGGTTCAATTTAGTTTGAATTGGTTTCCATGCCACAGACATTTTCTTGTGAAAAGTGTGAATGTACAAATTAGTCACGCTTTGTAGTCATGACCGTCACCACTTCCAATTTGAATTTCATCTAATTACCCAATTTTTTATTCAATTGACCCTGAAACTTATTCTATACCAGCACTGTAAGGACAAGTGTGTATTTTAGAGCAGTTTGGTCCCTGTTGGTATTTGGTTTTAGTACAGAGTGCACTATTGGGATGGTTTAGGGGGCTGCTGTTCGCTAAGTCACCAACGCCATAAGGTGTAAACTTTAATGTTTGTTTATTTAATTAATTTCAATTAATTAATTAGCCTAGTGGGAAGGGAGGCTGGGTGGGGTAGCTATAGATGCCCGTGTGTATTACGCAAAACTCGTCATACTTATGTTACTTTCTTTGATAACATGACAAAAATATATATGTGGTTTTGCAAATCTCATGCTACCCTTGTGATAAATGGAATATAAAAGTTAAATATCTGCTGAAAAGTTGAAGAGGAACATTTTGTTTTATTCAAAATGCAAAAGCGCCCAGAAGGCAAACTTAGCGAAGAACAAAATGGCAAAAATTGTGCAGGCCTGAAAGGCAAAAAAATGTGCAATGCTGGAGGCGTGATTGGCAAAATGCAAAAGTTGTGGGAAAGGCAAAAGGGGGGAAAAAGTGCTTGAAACGTGTGAACAAAGGCGTGATAAAATGACAGTTTTTAAATTAAAAACGTGGTCTCGCGCTAGTTTTTTAATCATATTTTTTTGACAAATACAATCACAAATGAAAGAATCCCACCATTTTAAAGCAAAATTTAGGTGCACTTTGGAGACACCTTCTTGAATTGAATTGTTCACACTAAGAAGTTAAAAATTATAATAATGCACTTTCCGTTTTGGTCAAAAAATGGGGGGAAAACGGCACTTTTTGCCTAACCTGTTTTCGAAATTTTGTTATTGTTCTTCTAAGAAATCTCTTTCAAACAGAAAATTTCGCTTTTTGGGGTGCACATAGATGGAAGTTTAATTCTGTGAAGTTTTACGACCACTGGCTTTAAGAATGATGAGAAATAATAAGAAATCTAGCATGAGACCGTTTTTGTTACGCAATTGTACACCAACATCGTGTTCAAGGCCTGTAAGTTATCTTTGGGTCTTGAAAGAAAACACAAACATGAAACATACACACTGCTAAGATCGACTTATTATGTTTTTGTCCGTTTGTATTCTGTAAAGGAGAAAAGGCCTAGTTGACTACCATGGGAGAGAATGGCATGGGTGAGGACCTGTGTGACTACTGTATCAGAGTTGTAAATCACACTCTGCACTATCTGAGATTGTCTCACTAGTTTTTGTATGGCTTGCAAATACTACATGTATTGATTACTTCTCTAAAGTATCTTGGGACGTTTGCATCTAGTTTAAGGGAAATGCCCTGTCAATCTCTGGGGGTATGAACACTGAACATATGAACATAATTAGCAGACCATAATATTGTTTTTTACTAATGTTATGTCTTTGCCCTGCTGACTCCACAATATTTTTGTGAAATACTAGGTTACAATGACTTGGCCCTATTAGCAACATTACTTCCAGTCAAGTACAAGAGATTCACGGACAGCTCAACATGGAGGTGCGAGAAGATGACATCAAATTGAAATTAGGGGGATAAAGTTGGAGCAGAACTTCATCGAGGGTAAGGGCGTATTTATATGGTAGTGAATAACCCACATCAAAGATAAAGTCAATTAAAGTTAATTCCAGTTATTGAATGAGGTACTCAGCTTTACAGAATTTATCTTAATATCGGAAAGGGTAGATACCTTAAGTTTGGAAAATCAGGTTTCTACAGCTCTATAAAACCTAGTGTGTTGGAGAGACATGTGAGCACTCCTTACCAAGTTTTGATCTTCATTAGTCATCAAGCGCAATCAGGTAATGACACTAAAAACTTTCGGCCACCTGTGGATGCATCAAAGCAAGTATCAAAATGATAGATTATTGCAAGGATGACAATAATGTCAGCTTGGACAAAGACAATAAACCCACTCAACTTTGTAAAATTCCATTCACATTAACGCCAAGGATTGAGTCTTGTTTTGTCACTAGGCACCTTTCAGAGGGACATGTTACATGTATACTGAACATACATACAACTCTATGGTGCTTAAAATTCACAATTGGCCTCGCCTTTTTTTACAAACCAGTTTGATGTTTAAGTTTAACATATGGGTTGAGAGGGGCAAAGCGAAATCCCTTTTCCTTGAACTTTTATTAGCCTGTGTAGAGCCACCAAAAAAATTGAGGGGAGGGGCTGCTGTGCACAGGCTACTTTAACATACTTGCCTGGAAAAGTAATTATAAAGAGTCTTTCATCCCTTTACACAGTCTTGGTAATAATAAATATAACTGAGTAATTTACCATGAAAATCCTTACCTGTCACAAATTTTGCATTTTGCTGAGTTCATTTCAAATGAAAATACATTGGAAATGAGAGACACAGTAATGAATTAATGTACAGTTACACAGGTTAGACATAGGGTGATAGAAAAATTGGTTGACAGACAACTTAAGTGCAAAGAACCTCACTTCCTGTATTCCTGTTCATGTTTTTCTGTTTAATTAAAAGTGAAATGTAATAAATTGACATTCATTTTGTATCCACAGAGAAACTGTTACAAAGATCCCATCAATATAAAGCAGCACACAAATTACCAACAAGCTTAAGAAAGATGAGCAAAATTTCAAGGAACACGTCAATGAAGGTATTTACCTTATTTGTACTAGTGTTTACTCAAATGGGGAACAAAGACAACGGTATTGGAGGATGAGTTGAAGAGGCTGGCCTGACATTAAGCAACTGTGAAATAAATTCAGGGGACAGATTACATCTTGTCTTGAAAGCATGACCTACCCTTTTTATGGAAGAACGGAATACGGTGAAAATTTTACCAGCAATATGAAATAATTCTCTGAAATTTGTGCAAAGTTGAAAGGTAGAAGTTTTAAATGTGTTAGCTCTGTGCAGAATACTTGTCCACTTAAGCTGCAAGTCTCAGTGGAAGAGTGCACAAATGGTTACTTTACCTGTCAATCGCAAAGCCTCAAGTGTATTATTAAATTGTTCTTTTTCAATTCTCCACGATTTTGGATTTCAAAACATGCTTTTATACACCAAAGAAAAATATAACTAACAGGAAGAGAAAAAATATAGCAATGAGAAAATCTTAGACCTAAACCCTTTGAAATAAAATAGCAACAAAATGTTCAGAAACGCATTAGCTTTGAGGACATCGATTGAGTCAGTGACATAACCAAAACACTCCTTCACGCCTTCTAAGCTTAATTGTCTAAAAAAACAGTACTGGAAGCACAAGAATCTTGTATGGTCTAAAATAACCGCGAGCATGAAAACAGAACGACATGAGATTTGTTGACAGAAATTTGGGTTTAAGCAAGGTTTTGGAAAGACGGCCATTGTACACAGTATCTAAAAGTCAATTACATTTGGAATTGGCTCAAAAAGTCTTTAAAGCAATTGCAACAAATGACAATAAAATGAGCTTGAAGAAAATTCGCAGTTCTTGCAAAATCTGCGTGAAAGCATTATTATACTGGAACTGGATACTTTCGCTTTGCTCGAATTGTTCACACGCAGAAATTATCTTAAGTTTTCAGAACTGACACTCTTGCAGAAGCCACATTTTAAAAGGCATCTAGTATATAAATATTTTTCAAAAGAATCCAAGCAAGGATAGGTGTTATTTCATTTAGAGTCAACAAACGCGTAAGGAACGACGGCTTAAGATACAACATCCATTCTCAATCTCCTAATAAGACTGAAATCGCTATTTCATGGAACTTACCTTTGTAAGGCAGTCTTTGTTCAGTTTCCCTCTTCTCACCAGCAGCATTTGTGGACAATATGCGTACCAGTACAAGAAATCTGCGGTAAAAGGAATTCAGACAATTCTGAATTGAGGCGGACCGAAAGATGCCATGCCATTCAATTTATCCGTAAATGTAAATAGAACGCGCCATAACGTTTAGACCTCCCAAGCGAGTACTTGTAGAATGAAATTTCCAAGTATCACAATTGACATGGTAAGCTTGTAAATGTGTAGTTTTGCCTTTAAGACAACCTTCAAACCCAATGTTCCAACTTAAAGACAGTGAAGTGTAGACAATAAAGACAGTGAACCACACCCCCTACAGTGAAAAGACAATACCGAGTAGGACTAGCTGCATAATAACATCAACTGAACAATTGTGACCGTAGCAATACAGGTTCACGGATTACAATGGAATGCAAATAACGACATAGCAGAAGAAGATTGCAGTTAAGACACCCCTTAGAGAGTATTCTAATTAGCGCGATGGTGATAAGATAAGTGCGCCATCCGTGTGAACTTAACAAATTCAGACTGAAATTTAAGATAATTGCAGACAGGAGAACAAACAAGTGATGAGGTCGACACCTCAAGTTAAGTTGCAGAGGATTTGGAAGAGTTTTATTATACCATAGAAGCTGCGACTGAAAACGGATTCAATCCGGAAGACACTTGAAATATCAACTGTAGCCCGTGTTTGGAATGACTTGTTAATCATGTGAAGATCAAAGGTGACAGAACTCACTGATTAGCTGAATTATTGCTAAACAGATTTCACAGGGCTTAAAAACAAATTGTAATGAAACTTTGGCCAAACAGTTGAGATATGGATATCTAATGCTGCTTTGTTCAAGTTTGTCACCCTTCTGTGTAAGTCATGATACACTGCCTAAAAGGCGGGGAAACTCTGGCGGTGGGGCTGGCCTCGCGCATGATGTTGGTGTACAAATCAAAATTAGCAAAAATCGGACGAAAATTTGTTTTAGAAATGCTGTAATTCGCAGGGTATTAATTTTTTTCTCTTCAAATGAGCACCATCTTGTAGCGATTTTCATGTAGTTTCCTTCAATCTTAGCTACGTCTCAAAAGCGCTTGTGCCTTTCTTGTAAGGAGTCAAAATCAGACATACTCTCCATTCTAATCTTCGCAAGTAGCGTAACACATCGGGCCGTATTTTACGCTATTCTTATCGCGCCCATTGCAGGCATGATTTGCCATTTTTGCCTTTTTGGCAAATTTTGCTTTTTGCCAAAATCG